CTGGTTTATCAAAAAATCGTAACCATAGAATATATTAGTATTGTCACCTTTATATTTCCAACTCACAGCTGCAACAACAATTATCAAGAGTGCTGCTAGACCCACAGCAACAAGGACGTACCACCACCAATCTGGGATAGAAAAAAATAAAAATAAAAACTTTTGTCTCCATTTTTCTGTTTTTTCCCAAATCTTTTTATACAAAAAATGTTCGTGCTTTTCATAAACTTATGAAACAGTAATTTACTATATTTCTTACTAAATCAAATTACAAAAACTGCTCCCACTGCTCCCTCCCTGTGACTTTTGACATCCAAAACACAGAGAGATTCATAATCATTACCTTGTGAGTTTCTTGCTCTATCATTGTTTGCGGATTCTGGATTTTTTCCCACTGTTCTTATGGTTGTTGCTACATTTGAGTCCTTACCTGGATAAATAAAATGACAATGGCAAACTGTTTATAAAAGAGCTCTTGTTGTCCATTTACAGTAACTAAATAAGAAAGAATGGTATCATCTAAAAGCAATGTAGTTTATTTTTCATATCAGTAATATCATATGAAATGATTTTACACAGCTCACACTTTGTTTTCTCACCTGCGGACAGACGGCTGAAGGTAAACTGATGTTCCTCTCCAGTGTTACTATCTTTCACATTACACTTCGCTAACTTGTAATTCTTTGCAGTGCCAAAGGTCACATTGGCAAAGCAGGTGCGCTGTGATGTCTTCAAGTCTTGGTTATCATTATCCACATCTTTATCCTCAAACAGCCACTTCACTGTGTATGTACATCGTCCATATGTCGACACAGAGCAGCTTAATGTCACCTTATCAGTGTCTTTATGTTCAGTCACTGGTGAAGATGGAGATATTGTGAGAGAAAGATTAACCTTAACTTTACCACTACAATCCTAATTATTATTAATTAAGTCCAATGCATTTGTACTTTCATACAAGACAGTTTGAGCTGAAAACCTTATGATGTAAATACTCACTGGTAATAACAGACAGATCAACCACAGAGTCTGAACCTTGTTGTTGTCCTGATATAAACTGCCTGCAGACGTAATGACCAACATCCTCGACTGTGACCTTCTTTATAACCAGAGAACAGTTCGCTGGAACACTCAGTCTGTCTGATTTAGCCATGGCATCTTTGTGAATCTGCCCATTTTCAAACAGTGTTACTGTGTTTCTGGAACCACTGGAGATCCATGTTGTAGTGACACAGCTATGGTGATCATTTATCACATTTTCACAAGGCAAAGTGACGTCATCTCCAGCTCTGACAATCAACGAGTCTGAACTTTGTCCAGTTACTGCTGCTGAGAAGATAAGAGAGAAATAAAGTAAATTATGTTCACTGTTAATGTGAGGAGGATTTTAGTTACGACAGATGCTTCAAAATGTGTCATCCGTACACGACTCTGTTAAAATCACTATAATAAAAACAAACAGCAGCCTTGGCTGAGCTGAATTAGTTGCATTACTAAAATAAAGTTTTGCAATGTTTCTGTTGCTATATGTATGTTACAACATACGGCAAACTACAACTGCCCTCTCTCCTTTTCTGTCTCTTGTTCTCACGATCTTCAGTCTAAAGTCTCTACTACTACTTCTACCATGACTATTAGTGTTTCATATTATCTACTTCCTGTTCTCAATTAAGTGTCCCCTGTTCATGGTGATGTCAGGGTTTTTACCTCTCCTGTAATTTATTGATTTTTGAACTGATGTTGACAGAGCATAGTATCAGCTTCTCATCTCTTAAAAAATGTTTGCAGTTACTGTATATCATGAGCCAAAAACCTAGTTAACATTTCTACAACAAGCTGGTGCTCAAATATACAGTATGTACGCATGTGTAAGAGTAAATACATAGGAAGTCAGAGGTGGTTGGAGTTGCAGGTGGCTCTTTCCACCCATTAACCACTGAAACCACAATGCACTTTCTCTCCTCTCCACTGCCACGAGTACTTTGTGTTTATAATGATCTCTTAATGTAATGCTTCTGAAATGTGCTGGATTTTGAATGATTTCTTTAAATACAGTTAGTCTGTGACTCACTGATTCCTCATTATAGCTTTGTCGTAAGAGTGGGAAGTTTTTCAGTGAGAATGTGGTTAACAACAGTGGCAGAGCTCTGGAGGTTTTACCCTCTAATGACGATCAGAAAAGCATCAAAATGAGTCAAGGCTCACAGGAACAGATAGACAACGTAAGAAAAAAAGGCACCCATTGGAGTGTCCATCTTTTACTTTTATCTCTACAAATATCACTGTTAAAAAAAACACTTTTGCAAAAGTATGTTACAAGTTTGTGTCTGTACCTGTAATCTGAAGCACTGGTGTCAGTAAAAAGATATTTTAATCCATCCGAATTCAGCCATCATGCTTCTCTATCTCTTTCCCTCACTTTCTCTTTTTTCGTGCTGTGAAGTTAAGGTCACCTTCTGCACCTCAGCATTGACTGGTTTGTACAGCAACAGACGAAAAAAGAGCGTCAAAATGAGGAAGTGAGACCCAATCACAGGAAGTAGATCACTTATTTCCATTTGGTTGATTAACACAACTCTCATGGGTGATAAATAAGGTGTGCACAAAGCCACTTCATCTCATCTTTATTTTTAGTTCAAATTAAACACCTTACTATTACATGATACAGACAAAGTATATACAAAGTAAATATAAAAAACTATGAACATATGTATATAAAGTTTTTTATGGGACAAGACCAAAAATATTTAAATAAACTAAAATGCATACAAAATACAACAATGATAGCAACAAAAGATAGAGAAGGGAGACAACACACATACAAAAATGCAGTATAAGTTGGATGACTGTAGTTTAGTATTTAGGGCAGAAAACTGATGCAAAAGTTGAGTTTTGAGTTTATTTTTAAAAGTGTTTCACAAAATAAAAGTGACAAAACCCATCACAGAGCTCAATAAAGTTTACAAGAGATAAGTGGTATGAATGTCAGGATCTTACTTTCTACTTGCTACTTGTAAACCTACTACACCCCCTTCTGGACAGAAAAGCCAAGTCCTAAAAATGATCATAAAAATAATTGTAACAGAAAATTTTTTTAACATGTTCATGTGAGAACTGAAATGCAAAACTACAATATTATCATTGTAACAACCTGCCAAGCCAAGTTATGCTCAAAAATATAAATATATTTTAAACACTGTAGGATTTTGACTGCATGTACAATCTTATAATACAACACAGTATGAGTGAAAAAACAAACTTAAATAGGTGTGATGATATGAGCTGTAACTATACTGTGGTCTCTTATTTGTTTGGTTTGTTGACGGTGGCGTAGAGGTTGCTGGGATCAGCAGAGGCTTCAGCAGAGGCTTCAGTAGAAGGGGAGGAAGCATCTTTCACGGTGGCGTAGGTCACTGCTTCATCATCACCTTTATCGCAAACCTTTAAAATAAAAGAGAAACAGCACAACACATAAATTATACAACAGGACATGACACAACATAATTCAGCACATTACAACGGTAAAGCAGAGCAAAGCAGCACCCCGACACTGAAAAACAAACGAACACAACAAATGATGCAATGAAATACAACAAAACATACAGAAACACACCATAACCGTAATGTATGAGCTCAAAACACCCAAACAGTGTTTCGCCTGTTCTAGACAAACCAAACACTGGCTCTAGATAGATTTGTGGCCACCATACTTTCTCCTACATGCATGGAAGGTGAGTGGTATTCAGTTTGTTGCAATCTGCAACTTCACCACTAAATCCTACAGATTGGTCCTGTAAAGAATATAGAGATTCCCTGTCTTTTCCTCTAGTGCCACCATGAGGTGAACATTTGTGGTTATGAAAAGTGAAAAGTCTTAACAATTATAAGATGAATTAACATTATGTGTGCAATTTCAGTCCCCCCCCATGATTTTTAGCCATGGCCCTTTAACTTTTTGTGCCAAATTCTGTTCAAAATGTCAGTTTCTCCAATACCAAGACCAAATACTTGTAAAACTACATTACCATCATCCTTAGCTGTATTTTGTGTTTAGTGCTAAGATGCTGAGATACTGTGGCTAAGATTAGCATCAGCACTATCAGATACTAGCGTTATCAGTGGTGAGAATGTTAGCATCGTGGATGTGGTTAGCATGCTGCATGACGCATTTAACTCAAAAACCACCTCTGTGCAGCCTCAAAGAGGCACTGACATGGTTGCTGAATCTTAGTCTTGTTTCTTCACTGCCAACCAATCAGAGAGCTTACCCGGGCTTTACTGTTGGTCGTCCTATAGCTGATGGAGGCGTAAGAAACACCATCTTCAGGATCCAGCTGCACAGAGAACACAACATGTGTTACTGACTGCGGGCATTCTAGTGTAGTTGCATGATTAACTTCTCTTTTTCTCTGTTGCACAAGGAAGTTTGAAAAAAATTTAATTTGTATTGGGCGTAGTGTGTGATCTCACCATTTGCTGGCTGGTTTCTGGAGTCCCTGCAGGGTTTAAGCTCAGTCCCTGTGAAAACACAGTCACAGTTACAGTCATAGTCACAGTCATAGTCATAGTTTTCCATTGTTCTTCCCCTGTTTGTTTTTTCCCTAAATACATTCTGAATCTGAAATATTTTCAACATTTTTAACCCTGGCCAGCTGCAACTGAGTAGTGTCAATGCAATATAATAAACATTTGATTATTGAGGTTTACAACTCACTTTGTTTTCATCCATCTGTGTTCTGTCACCTAAAAAGACAAAGAGAGTCGACTTTAGTTTCCACTGTGAAAATCCAGGTTAATCCAAATGTCTTTTCATGGTTGATCTCACCTTTGGTTTTCTTCCATCTGATGACAGCCACACAGATAATTAAAAGTGCGGCTAAACCCACAGCCACAATGATGAACCGCCACCAGTCTGGAAGGAGAATAAAAACATAAAGACATAAAAAAAAAAAAAACATAACATAAAGACACAAACACGAGATAGAGAGATAAGTCACTACCTTGTGTTGAAGTGTCATCCTCTGCAGTCTTGATATTCCCTTTGCTTCCTTTTGATTTTGTTGAATATGATATGAAATAAAACAACAAATTGTGACAAAATACCTCATGTTACCATCTGATGAGACAAAATGAAATAAAATAATTAAATTTTAAACTGTACCTGTTTTCTCACATGAGGACTGGGGACCAACATCACACAGCAGCGTTTGTCCTCTCTTATCATCTGTCACGTTACACTTGAGTAACGCATAATAGTTTGACTTCTGCTTGAGACGAGAAATTGTAAATCCCACTCTGGATCCACAGGTATACTGTGATATCTCAGTGTCATTCTTATCATCACCATCATACAGCCACTTCACTGAGTGTCCACAGCCTTCATATGTCAACACAGCGCAGAACAAGATGACTGTATCATTCGTCTGATGTTCAGTCACTGGTGAAGATGGAGATATTGTGAGAGAAAGACAACAAGAGTAAAATGAACTTCATCACTATAATCATAATTATTGTAATGTTTCAGTATTTTGTTCTAACAAGACAGTTTGAGCTGAAAACATTATGATGTAAATACTCACTGTTAATGACAGACAGCTCAACCACAGAGTCTGAACCTTGTTGTCCTGTTATAAACTGTCTGCAGGTGTAACGACCAACATCCTCGTCTGTGACCTTCTTTATAACCAGAGAACAGTTTGCTGTAACACTCAGTCTGTCTGATTTATCTTTGGAAATCCCAGTTTGACTAATCTTCCCAAGAGTAACCAGCTCTCTTGCTGTTCCCCCAGATGATTTAGTGGCAATCCAAGTGGTTGTGTCACATTTGTTCTGATTTTTAATCACATTTTCACAAGGCAAAGTGACTTCATCTCCAGCTCTGACAGTGAAGGAGGGGAACTTTTGTCCAGTTACTGCTATTGAAGATGAAAGATAATTATACAAGATTAACTGTGCGAAGAGTATGACATTAATGTTTATAGTAATGTGTGAGGATAATATCAAATACATAAACAATAGCATATGTCCCTTATACAAGAATCCATGGCCATCTTACTTAAATTAATCTTAGTTACTTAAATACTATTAGTCTTAGTTTGTCTATGTGTATGTGTATCCTTACCTGTAAACAGAAGCACCAGTATCATAAATAAAGACATTTTAATCCATTTGAATTGAACCATCTTGCTTCTCTCTCGTTATCTCTTGTTCTCACGCCCTCAACTGTCAAAGTCTCTGAACGAATGCTTCTTTAAGACAGATACAGCATTTACTTCCTGTTATGAGTGTTACTTCCCTATAATTGATCTTTTTTACATCTGTTGAATCAGCTCGTCAGTTTTTAGCTCCGCAGATAATGTGGAGGGAGTCTCCGGCACTGACTAATGACTCCTCCTTCAGTCAGAGTTGAACATCAGGTCAAAATGAGAACCTCAGACACGAGGAATCTTCATCGTACCAGTTGAGATCTGTATCTGGGTTGTTGGCATGACGATGAACTCACACACCACCCAAAACCACAACACACACTTCCTCTCTATCTAAAACATACATCCTGTTAATAATCACATCCTATATTAATATTATACATAGTTTTTAGCATGTCTCACTGTGCACAGGGGTAGTACTTGCAGTTTAAGAACTAATATGAGCTGATTTGAGTTTTAGAGTAAAGGTGAACAGACAGAGACAGCAGATTTAACAGGATTTGTTTGCATTATATCTGCAGCAACGACGCTTATGACGCACTGAATGACGAGGAAGAGGACAGGAAGTTTAGTTTGAACTGTGCGACCACAGGACTAAAATACACCTGAGTGAAAAAAAAAGAAGATAATGTTTGACACCACACGTAAACACAAAAGTGAGTCAACCCACCCACCAGAACCTGACGTCTGAGGCTCATGGTGCAATATAGATGGTGTAAAATAATCATACTGTAATGGTTTTAGAATAGTTTCTTCCTCATTTGTAATAATACTTACGTATTATATCTGAGGAAAGAGTGGGAAGTAATCTGACTGTGTTTGTTATAGTGATGGGTCGGTTGCGAACGATCCGGCTCTAAGAGCTGGCTCTTTGAAGTGAACGACGGGAGCCGGCTCCTGCTTGGGAGCCAGATCCGGATTTTTTTCCAGATTTTCCCGTTTTTTTCCTGTTAAAGCCACGTGATTGGTCAAGATGTGTGGCGGCATCTGTGTATCTACACTGAGCAGGAGGGGGAGGGAGGGGTTACAGACACAGACGGCACAGTGAGCACGTGAACCGGTGGGAGGGAGATGTGAGAGCGAGAGACCTTGGCGCTACATAGACAGAGACTAAACACTGGAAAGGGCGAGGAAAATGAGTGACAGGAAACGTAGTAAAGTTTTGACACATTTTAATGTGATAGTTCAAAGGCAGAGTGTAGATTGTGCAAAGTTAAACATTTCATATCAAGCAGCTTTTTGTCTAATTAAGATGGGTCTTTGTTTTTGTGTTTTATAATTTATTTTTGTAGCACTCTGTTCCATGTTGAGTATATTAATTAATCCATATAAATACTAAACATTTAATATAATGCATGTATTTACATTAGATATTAATTTTACACATAATTTGGTCATTTTAAGCAAAAAAAAATATGAGGAGCCACTTGGGAGCCGAAAGAGCCGGCTCTTTTTAGTGAGCCGAGCCAAAGGAGCCGGTTCTCTAAAAAGAGCCGGAATTCCCATCACTAGTTTGTTACACAGACCCATATGGGGAGCTTTTTGTAAAAGGCCAGGCACTTGGCAGGTGATTGTATGAACCATCTGTCTATCACTGTCTGTCAGGGGCGACCTTCAACCAATCAGATCAGTCAGCGCCGGTCGGCCCTGTACGCACACTACGCAAGCTGCGCAAGGCCCCGCACATTACGCAAGGGACCCGCCTCCACCTCCTGTCTGTCACTACGGATGACAGCGTGTACAACTTCAGTGAGAGGATGAACGGAACCACCAGTCATGAAAAGAGAGAGAGAGACTTTGTGCAGGACAAAAGTGAGAGTGAGATACAACTAGAAACAGTGTCTATAAAGTAAAGAGAGGAAAAAGATAAAGAGAGGAGGCGGCGAGGAGAGACAGAGAGGAGAGGAGGAGTCGAGACTCCAGAATGTAGAGGATGTCATACTTTTTTTATTTTTATTTTAATCATGACCAATAAAGCTGCCCTTTCATCAAAAAATGTAATCTCAGTTTGCTGCTCTACTGTATATAAAAATATTTGTTATTTGTTTTGTGTTCTTTACTTTCAGGGAATGTACTGCACCAAACTCCCTTTAAGAAATATGACATTTTAACTATTCCTTACGTGTCCGTAACAACACGGAAGTCTAGAAACACGAGCTGAAGTGTATCATATGTCCACAGTCTGACTGTCAATGCGGCTGCAATATAATAATCCACAAAGAAAAAGTTAAGACGATTCTGTCGCCTCAACTCGCTACAGTCTCTGTTGTCAGTGGGAGGTGACTGCGGCAATAAGAGGCGGATCGTTTTAATAATCATTATTTCTCACTAAAATAAGTGCCGGCTGGTGGATTAAATATATGCCGAATTAAACACAGACTCATAACATTGTTCATTCACCGTCTATTATTATGTGAGTGTCCGTATTTTAGCGTTACCATAGTAACCTGTTTAGTAGTAGTATTTCTATTCGTTTCCATCATCCAGGTAAGACAGAATTGGTTGCTCAGCCCTGTATCTTTGCTGCTTCATTACTGTCTTCTTTCCAGCAGTTTTCCTCCACCTTCCCATACTCCTCCTGCATTTAATGTGAATTCAGCATGTTTGTTCTCACGCATATGACCGTATTCAGTTGTTTTTTTTAAGAAGGTCTATACATATGTTGCAATACAAAAACATGACAGTATGCAGTGCATCACAATATGAACTTAACCTTCTCAGTTTAGGGTCTGTTCAGTGTTCGTAGTGCACAGTCCATGATACCAATGTTAATGACTCGTTTTCCTTTAAAGAGAATGGGATTTAATGTGAGCACTAGCTTTTGACTTTAAAATAATTCATTTTTATTTTTGTTTAATGGGATGAAATTTGGGGTAAGTGTATAATTATAGTAAGACATTCATCTGTTTTTATATTTTTTTTATATTTTCATATTGGCGTCATGGACGTTTTTTTCAACTTTGGGGGAGACATACAGGAAATTAAGCAATGAGACTTATCCATGGATTCATTCATTGTAGTCCAGCCCTCTCCTCCTACCTCCCACTCCAGTCCATCCCCACCATCCAACCACTATTAAATGTTTTATAAATCATAAACTTGTACGTTCCACCATCCATCCAGCACCACCAGGTAAATCAAGAAGCCTCACTGGTGATTAGACACCCTCCTGCAGCATGTTTCGATCATGTTAAAATAAAAATTACACAGAATAAAATGCAGTAAAATAAAATGCATCCTTTACAGGTTTTCCAAAACATAAATGAAACACACGTTCAGGAGCTCATCCTGGGAGGAACGTGGTGTTGCTGTCCATGGTGCTGAAGTGGATGATGAATTCATCTTCAGCCACTTGATTTATTTAACTGTTAGCAAGCCATGTTATATATATTTAGATATAAAACATGAATGACACAACACAGTTAGAATAGTCACAAATAGCACCTTCCTAAAATGCTGCTCTGTTTATGAAAAACAGCATTCTGTTACTTATGTTTATTGATTTAGTTGTTGTTAGGGCTTTATGATCAAGCACACATTGCTGAATGTTTCCATCCATCAGCATCACTGTCACCACGTTAGAGGCATCACGAGTTGGAAAAAACATTGTGGATAGTTTCAGTCCATTCAACTGTTTAATGCAACTCTCAAGGATGATGTTATTTATTTTATTAACTTGACAGGACATAGAAAAAAAAAACTGAACACAGATATAAATGTTCCAAAACTTACAACGGATACACGGAACATTGAAAAAATATATAGATACAGTAGCATTCAAAACATAACCTGATAACTGTACATTCACATTTTATGTTTTGAATAGGCACAGCAAACAGAGCAGACATATACATGATATTACTTTTACTATTTGCATACTACTTGCCCTATCACTCGCTGCCCCCTTCTGGACAAAAAGCTTTTTCCAACAATACACCCTGGAATCATCATACAAATAATAAATATTCATATTAATTTAATAAGGTTTGGGAGTTTTAGTTCTTCTGTAACGGAACAGTTATTTTTACCCAAACAATGGTCTTTGCTGGGCTACATGATATCAGCCCGATTATAGGATCAATGCCGCATCTGGCAGAAAGTTATTTTACCATGTGTACAGAGATGTGGACCAATAGGAGCAAAGAGCGCTCTTCAACTGTTAACATGGTGAAGTGAAAGAGGAAGGATATCGGTGTGGCAAGGTGGAACTGTGAAACAGATGAAAGGCTACAAGTATTTTTTTCCCCTCATTTAGGCTTTTTTGAAACACAAGACAACCAGTATAACACACACTGCCTCGGACTCCATTGTTTGTTTACATTCTTGTTCCTGGAATTCTTTTTTTCTAGATTTCTGATCATTGAGGATTTTAGGGATTTGTAAAGTTTTAGAGATCTGTTCATCTGATTGGTGAAGATTCCAATATTCAATATTGCCAAAGCTGGCAATAGTTTCCCAGGTACTGTGGTATCTTATTTGTTTGGTTAGTTGATGGCAGCGTAGAGGTTGCTGGGATCATCAGAGACTCCAGCAGAAGAAGAGGAAGCTTTCACAGTGCTGTACATCACTGTATCTTCACCATCATCATCATTTTTAACCTGTACCTGAGAAAGCAAAACAGCACCACACATATAGTAAATACACAACATTGATGAACAACATAACCTGACAAGAGTTCTTAAAGTCCCAATTGTGTTGCCATCTAACCAGATTTTTTCAGTCTAGCTATGAACATGTTCACATACTGTAAGGCATGTTGTTTGCGGCATATGAAAATAAGTTAAATGCATTATAAAAGCAACACCAAATGCAGGAAGATGCAATATCACTGCCTCATCATTAGAGCATGACGAGATCTGACTATAATCATGTTACATTAAATTCTTATGTTGCTTAGATGTATTCCTATTGTGTGTATGACAATTTGTGTCTCATTCTTTCAGCTAAAATCCAGGTAGTGGGAAACAGAAATATATAAAATAATGTATAAATAATAAATATATATAAAACAACATAATTCAAAGTGGAAAGTATCAGTCTCTGTTGTAGGATGATATCAGTATACAAAAGCTCTTCTATGGGAGAGACAGGGCACTCTTGCCCTCCTACGAGACTCTCTCATGGTCCGCACACTGAACTCCACAGGACCTTCAAAGAATGGTTATATCATTTTCGTAGAGAACTGATTGGTCATTAGCAACTGCTTTTAATCTGTTATCTTTAGCATCAGTTACCATACGGATGTACCCTGGTAAGAAGAGAACCATCGTCATAACCCTGAAAACCCAGGGTTAAACCTGAAGTTACCTCTTAAATCCTGCTTCGTATTACAGGCCTCAGGTGAATGTAAGACCAATATGCACTCTCTTTAGCTCTGCCTTTGGGCTCTACCTACTCTTGAGGGGACTATCTGGCTCTTTAGCTGCTAAATGCTCCACTTTATGAACCAGCTACTCTCTGTCTGCAAATTGTACAGAGGATTTTTAGTGTTTTTTCTCAGAAAACTCCGGCCTATTGCTGTCACGAGAGTGTAAACCAAAACAGTAAAGTTGCAACCAGGCCTTTAAACAGTGAAACTCAATATAAAGCTCCATAAAGCCGAGGGCAGCTGCAATAGCAAATGCTGACTGGGTGTAACTGGGCTCAGCAGCCTCTGCAGAGACAAAGAGGCCTGAGACGCATTGACGGAGGAAGTTAAGAAATAGAAAAGGAGAGTGACTGAGCAAGAAGCAACCGGACATGGGTTTTTGGCCATAAGTAATGTAATCATAACACATGTACATCTATTGCTGTCCATTTACAACAGTGGTATTGCAACAGGGGGCGCCAAATACCAAATCTAACATAAGGTTGTTTTAAAAATAAAAATTAATGGTTCTATCTTGTGTTACTTAAAATTTTCTTTTTCTGTATTCAGTAACATCACCAGTTCTACAATTCAGACAACTTACCCGGCCTTTACTCTTCTTGGTGTAACTGACGGAGGCGTAGGAAACACCATCTTCAGGATCAGCCTACACAGAGAAGACAACATCATGGCTGCTCAGTAACATGTGGATTATATACTGTCTCACTCATAACCACTTGATATTTCTCTCTTTTTTTTGTTTCTCATGGTTGTTTGAATGCTGTCTGTTTGAACTTCTGCACATTAACTTACTGGTCACACTCATGACTTCCTGCTTGACACTATTTTTACAAATGCTAAAAATTCAAGTGTGTCACTTTCCTTCCCCTTTCCTTTCTCATGCAGAAATAAATGAAAGAGTGTCACTGTGTGTCTTATACAGTTGCTTTAGAGAGTGTAACTTTGTACTGGGTGTAATGTGGGACCTCACCATGTCCTGACTGGTTTCTGGAGCAGACTCAGTCGCCACAGGTTTTAATCTCTGCCCCTGGACAAACACAGTTCACATTTCATTAACAAAAATAAAAAGTGTGCTTTTATAGAAGGTGTTAAATGCTGTAACTGTTTCTTGTTAAACAACAGCCAGGTGCATGAAGCTCTTGGAGTCTTGTTATCACTGCACTGATCTCTGGTGTCGGATGGATGGATAAACTGTTGTTCATCAAGAAGTAAGTATGTATGGATTAAAAGATAAGGCATGTTAGTAAGTAAGCTTTAAGTGGTGATAGGCGTATTTTTGAACGTTAGATGGAGCTGAGCTAGCTTCCCCCTGCTTCCAGTCTTTATACTAAGCTAAACACCTCCTGGCCCGGCTCCATACTTATTGCCCAGCACCAAACCACTCATCTAACTCTCCATGTCATGTTATTATTTGGTATTTTTTTAACTTAAACGTGTATTTATCAAAACATCAAACTATTCCTTTAACAGATATTCTTCCACTTCCACTCAAAGACTTCCTTGACCTTCAGTAGATCACAGTCAGTATTGATTATTCTCTTTCAGCTACAGAGGCACACTACAGGGTTTGAACTACCCCTTTGCTCCGTAAAGTCAAAATTGTACCATTTGATTATCCCGTTTTATACTCACAGTGTTTTCATCCATCTTTGTTTTTTTGCCTGTAAAGACAGAAGAGAATCTACTTTAGCTTCCACAGTGAAAATTCTGCTTTTCAAAATATCTTGTCTAGTTTCACCTGTGGTCCCTCTCACCTTTAGTTCTCTTACATCTGATGGCCGTCATGATGATTACTACGAGTGCAATTAAACCTACAGGCACAATGATGTACAACCACCAACCTGCAAAGTAAATGAAAACATTTGAGGTGTAGTTTGCTCTAGTAAAATATATTTAGCCAAAAGAGAAGAGAAATTACTCTTATAATGGAATATCTCCACCTACAAACAAGTGTTGGTCTGACATTCATACTTTTGGCTTCAAACGCTGAGAGAAAGACTGAAAGACAGAGATATTCTTGAAAGAGAAACTACCTATTGAGTTGGTGCTTGTTTGGTTGATGTTCCCAGTTATCCTTAATGTTGTTGTTGCTGTTGTTGCTGTTGTTGCATCCTCTTAAAAACAAAAACAATAACAACAAACTGTACGGTGAGAAGAAAAATGACCATCTGCAATAGCTAAATGGAAAGGATTTAAATGTATCAAATATACAAGTGTACTTTGTGATTCACCTGGTTTCTTTGGTGACTGAAGGCTGAAAGTAAACTGCTGCTCTGGTTGAACAAAAAGATCAGTCACTTCACAATTAAGATGCTCTGACTTCAGGTTAAGATCAGAAGTAGGAAATGTCACAGTAACTGAGCACTTAGGCTGTGATGTGTCCCTGTCTTCATTATCTTTATCCAGATCTTGACCCTGATACATCCACTTCACTCTGTATGTACATGGTTCATATGTCGACACAGAGCATTTTAATGTCACCTTATCAGAGTCCTTATGTTCAGTCACTGGTGAAGATGGAGATAATGTGAGAGAAAGACAACAAGAGTAAAATGAACTTCATCTCTATAATCATAATTATTGTAATGTTTCAGTATTTTGGTCTAACAAGACAGTTTGAGCTGAAAACATTATGATGTAAATACTCACTGGTAATAACAGACAGATCAACCTGTTGTTGTTGTCCTGATATAAACTGTCTGCAGGTGTAATGACAAGCATCCTCGACTGTGACCTTCTTTATAACCAGAGAACAGTTCACTGTAACACTCAGTCTGTCTGATTTAGAGTTGGTGTTTTCAACAATCTGTCCACGGTCAATCAGACATACTGACGGTGTGTTTCCTGAATGAACAAAGAGCCACGAAGTACGCTGACATTTGTCCTGATTATCTCTCACATTTCCACAAGGCAAAGTGACTTCATCTCCAACTCTGCCAACAATACGGGGGGAGAGTTGTTCAGCCACTGCTGTTGAAAAGATGAGAGAAAAATAAGCTGAAATATGAATATGGCTTTTATGGTGACACAGCTTAAGTTTGCAAATGTTTCTGATCCTTTGTTTCCAAATTTCATAAAATTCAACATGTTGAAAAACTAATCACAGACTACCATAATTCATTAGTTAAATAATAGTTGCAGTAGCAGTAGTAATACTATTAAAGCTATGTTTTCAAATGCTTCTGGTTATTTGCATCCTTACCTGGAAGCAGTAGCACCATCATCAGAAATAAAGACGTTTTAATCCATCTGAACTCAAACATCGTGCTTCTCTGTCTTTTTCTGTCCCTCCTGTTAAAGTTTCTGAATTGATCAATCTTGACAATCTTCTTCCTGTGACAAGTAATATATTACTTCCTCACTGTGACCGTCTTCTTTTTCTCTCTTTTGTAAGACGCTGTAGGCGGAGCACTAGCAACTTTTCAGCTTTTCATTTCCTTGAACTCCTGAATTTGAACCACCACAGATTCAATTTAATAAAATATAAACTTATCTCACCGCAGAAACCTTCATAGACTGATAACTGAATCTTGCTTGTTGGATGTGAGGGTGAAAGTCTCAACTGAACAACTAACCAAAACCACAACACACTTCCGTTCCACTGTGGTGTTTCAGTTCTAACATTTTTTCAGTTTTTAATCATGATTTATTTCATATTCCGGTGAATAACAGCTTGAATCTTTGATTAGAGAGAATAACCCAGGAGGGAACAGCAGGCTTTCTGACATGTTGGTCACAAGTACAGCAGACTACATAACGTATTGTGATGTCAGCTGAATTGAAAGGCTTCCTGAAATTGTTTGTATTCTGGTGATTCTTAAAACCTTTACACTCCTTTAAAAAGATTAGTGCTTTACTTCTGATTACTGTTTTGGTTCAAACACCATGGTGACAGACCTTAAGTGATGTAGAAACAACGCATTATTCATGCATTATAGGACGTAACGTGAATTCATGTTGCTTCCTATTATGTGATGATCGAGTCACTATTATTTTGTTTATGTGATAAGTTAATGCTTAATGGATCATCAGTGATCATCAAGTATTAAGTCACAATTTATAGTCCAATATTAAGCTGTTTTTATCAAGAAGCAACATATTGACATTTTCATGTAACCACCAGTTTGATAAAAACATCATATTTTGATGAAAATACACAGATACACCTCTTTTTTAGAGGCTGAACAAATGCATGGGTTTCAAATGGTTTTGATTAATTCATGTATGTAAGTAACATTAGTTAACTGATGATTCATTAAGTATTAATTAATCACATTAAAGTGAAGTTAAAGTGACTTCATCATTTCACCACATGAAGCATGAATACAGTATTGAGATGCTCAGGTGATAGTACCTGCAAGGAACATCAGTTACTGAAGCAATTAAAAGTGATATTCAAAAACGTTCTATGTAAACTATATAATTACATCAATAGCGCCCTCTGGTGGCTGACTGCAGTATAGGTCATAAAGCCTGCTGCCTCCATGTAAGCAGATGGGACATGAGCCAAATATAAAAACTCAATGTTCATGTCAAATAAAATGTTCCCAAAGATGGTTTCTGTCATTTTAGGTAGTTCTTATCACACTTATGTATGTTAAAGTGTTTATTTTTCTGATCAGTTTGGTATTAATTTATTATTTAAAGGTATAAAAAAGGGATTTTACATCATGATTGACAGCTGAGCCCTGATTACAACCCAGATCAATGCTGTGCAGACTCTGGCTCTGAATGACGGCCATGTCCAGGATATTTTGGTTTCATTTTTGTACAGTGGGAGGAAGTGGAAACGTGACGACCATCCGTAATATGTCGATGATATAACCTTTAAAGAGTTGTTGATTTTAATCAACTGGTTTAGTTTTACCCTTTGGTTTGTCAACCTCTGCTTCCTTGCCATTAATTCAGCAACTTTTGCTGTCAATTGGACTTAAAATGAAACTGCATCATTGAATACAGTTCACACAATTGATCTATTCTTTTTTAGGAAATAATATCAAACACCTACCACAGCACCCCTACTACCTTTCCCATTAATGTAAATTAAACCAATATGTTACAATATGTTGAACGGCTGCTTTAAAATGGACATGGACTTCATGTAGTACACATAAAGCTCACCTAATAGTTAAAATAAATAGAAAAAGAATGCTCTATAAAATGAGACATGAAACAGGCTCTATCATTGGGATCCCAGCTACACACATAGTGGTAACTATTCTTATATTATTATTTCTGAATGTGTCGGACATCATATGAGAAGGAGGAGATGGTCTGGTACAATTTACTTTATTAAGACAAGAATGAAAGTTATACAAAGAAATTATGATTTATCAGTCACATTAATTAGGTTTCTACACCACGAGAAGCAGCAGATGTTTTTTCTCTGTAGACACTTATAGGTATCACTTTTTACATTTTGAATGAAAAGAGGTTTTGATGTACGATTTGTAAATGAAAAGTGGAGGACTCAACAATTTTTTTTTAAATTCTTCTTCTTATTGTTATAAAAAGAGCGAAAAAAAAAAAAAAAAAAGCAAGAGTGTGTGGTGTGCCGTAGTGATCATGCATTTGTTTTGTTTTGAGATGCTGGTGCTCTAGTGAGACATCTAGTTTGAAGGTCACACTTTTAAAGCAAACTGAACAGAGACATAAATGTGCAATTTTTAGATGTTAAACAAATTCACATGTATGCAGCCTTACAAATGTTGGATTATTACTTCTGCATTTTACATCGTATTACTAGTTTACATATTACTCTTACTCTAACAAAAATATTTTTTTAATCACCTTTCCCATTCTTCTCACTTGAAGATAGAACTGATAATTGAGTCAATGTAAGTATAATACAGCTACATGGAGGAGAACAAATACCAGTACATGTAACTTTGTACTGGATGAAGTGTGTGATCTGACCATGTCTTGACTGGTTTCTGGACCAGAGTCACTGCAGTGTTTAAGCTCTGTCCCTGGACAAGCACAGACTTGTTACAGTTTTCTATTTTAGATAAGATAAGGTAATGCTGTTAGTCCCACAGTGGTGATATTTGTTTTGCTACAGCAGCGAGAATACAGCACAATAGAAGTGAAGGTAAAAAAAAGCAAGATATAATAAATAAGTAAAAGTCTGACAGCAGCAGGAAGGAAGGACCTGCAGTGTTTCCTTCACAGACTGTAGGTAAATCAGTCAGTGGAGGAGCTGCCCAGTGCTGTCAGAGTGTCCTGCATGATCCTCCTCCTCAGCTCCCTCTGCACTTCCTTCAGTTCTTCCTAATTTCCTGACCGTTAGGCACTCTTTTTGTCCTTAAAGAGAACCTTTATGTCAGGAGTAATCCAGGGTTCCTCTTCCCTTATTATCATTTAACCTTACATCTGGAGAGGAATTCAGGTAACACATCTGGTGCGCACGGCCACAGATGACTGTAAGCTGCAACAATACCGTGGCGTGCACACCTGCAGCCAGCTACTCCCTGCAGCTGCTGTGCCAAATAACCTTTGGCTATAATTCACACAAGGCCCAAACAAAAGAACTGCTAAATGTCCGTGGTAAAATAAAGGATGGTGAATTAACTACATCAAACTTTATCAGGCACCTGAAAATGCATCCAGATAGGTGAGTCACCTGGACAGTGAGCAAACATGTATTACTCAGCATCAGCAATCTTACGTTAGCTTGCTACCAGCTTTGAGGACAACTTGATTAGATTGGTGTTGGCTTAATATTTAAAAAAAGCAGGGTGCCTGCTGGCTTTGCCATAAAAATAAAAAATTGTCAGGAAACATAATCATCCACGTTCCGTTAAACTGAGAGAAAGAACACATTAGTTATTAACATCGGATTCTTATTTAGGAAAATATGTATATATATATAGTTATAGTGAGCTGTATGTTCATGTCACAAGGCAAAATACAAATATGATCATATACCATACAACTATGCAGATATTGTATGTTAACAGATAAAGGAGTGATGGTTGCTGTGTTTTAATTCCTTGAATATAGCTATGCAGTGTTCTCATAAGGCTGGATGGCATGCAGCAGATCGTAGAAGAGACTTGAGACTTGACTTCCATCTGAGGAGTCGCACAGCACTAATCAAGAATGTTGCTAAACCCACAGACACAATGATGAACCTTGAAAACTTTATAAACGTTCAAAGTTTTGCAGCTAAAATGACAACACATGACATATTTTACATTATATTAAACACTGCTAAATATAATAGATTTGTTTCCAACTATAGTAGCCTATTTGAACTGACAATGATGAATTACTTTTATTTTGACATCTGAATACAGTATTTCATAAAGGACAAAAAAAAAAGACAGCAATGTCTTCACACTTTCATATTTATCCAAATTATCATCTCATCTCATAATGGCAATGTGTCAAAAAAGAGTAGGATAATGCCACTGTGTGTTTACATTCATTAACTTAAGAAGATAGAGACAAATTAAGACAACAAGAGTAAAATT